TCAGCTATGGCCCACCTAGCAGTGGGCCTGCACAGATGGTGGCAACTGATAGGCAGGTAAACCAGATAAGGGCGACACTTTCAAGTGTAGCTGTCCTGTCCCCTTTAGGTGCAAGCTCTGTTCTCTTCCTGGAGGGCAACACCAATGACGACCACACACCCTGACATTTACTGGGCAGTCACATGCCAGATTCCAGCGGACCAGATCGCTTGCTCTCTCACCTGGGGTGGGATTTCCCAACTGTTTACACAGAAAAAACTGTGGCTCAGACGTTTGGCAGGGTCTTCTCGACCCCAATCCTGAGCCTGCTACTCCCTAGCTGGGTGACTCTGGGAAGCGACAACTGCCTGGCGCCCTCCGGCTCCACGTACGCATCTGCACAGTACACGGCACTCCCCCAACCCAGTCACCCCGAGGGCAACGTGATAACCGGCTCCTACTTGTCTCATTGGGCTGTGGGGGTCGGTGAGGCCCCGACCCCAACCCGCAGACTCGGCCTTGGGCACGAAAACCCGGTGGGGGTACCGCCCACCTTGGTCTCGGTTTCCGGTCTGTAGAAAGCTGGCCAGAACGCCGGAGACCCTGGTTTCCAATCCCATTTCTCAGGGGAAGAAAATGAGACAGAAGGGGATATTCTCCCTGCGCACAGCCGCCGCCCACCCGGGCCGGCCCACCTGAGACGGCCCGATGAAGTCATCCAGGTCAGTCAGCTGCAGCGCCCCGCTGAAGGGGGACGCCATGGCGGAACACTGCCTGCAGGCGCTATGCTCAGAGTTTGCCAGACGGCGCAAAACGACAGAGTCGTTTTGCCACAATGCCGGAAAGCGCCCCAAGCGGCGCATGCGTGTCGAATGCCTGGAGGACGCGCGCCCCCTGCTGGCGGGCACCGTCCCGCAGAGGAGCCGACTTCCCTCTGTTTATCTTCCCTGCTTCCGGAGCAGGGGCTGAGGGGCCGCGTGGGCACGAGTGGCGTCTCCTTCACTCACCCAGTGTGCGGCCCCGGGGTCCCCGTCCAGGAGCTCGCAGAGGCAGCAGCCTTGCTTCACTCGGTCCCGGATGCAGCCCAAGAATCCAGAACGGCACTTGGCACACAAAGGCGCCAGTTTCTGATGAAGAGTGAACAAAATGAAAATGATAGCGATAGGGAGCGGTTCCTTACAACCCTGTGGCTCAGTGCAGAGCCTTCTGTCCTGGGAGGGAGCCCACGGAGCTCCTCTCACGGCCTTCCCACACCCTCTTTTGTTATTTTGGAGACCAGCCTGTGGAAACTCCATTCCCCTATGATTTTAAAACCTGAAACTGGACTGCTGCTGTCGGACTCCATTCTTGAGCAACGTGTCAAATCCAGTTATACCTTTAATTACCACTTTTCGTTAGAGCTTTTCAGAAAACTCCAGGGGTGGAGTCTGGCCCATCCCTGAGCCCAGCTCTGTTAGGGGCCCTGACAGACTCAGCCCCAGACTGTAGGTGGTAACTTCGCGTTTCTGATGGCCCAGCCTGGCCTGGGAGCCTGGTCTTCTTGGGGTTCTTGCCTGGACGTTCGCTCTATTTGGTGACTCTCATATCTGTGTGTGGGTGTACTGACCCACAGGGACCCGAGATCATCGGCTGGTGCAGCCTCTTCTAGCCCCTGCAGCTGCCCCTCTTGGCTGCCAGGAGACCTTCTTTCTCAGCAGCTGCCCCCGAAGGGTTTCCAGGCCCCACCCATCCCCCTGTCCTGGCCATAGGAGACCAAGGACTGAGATGCAATGCCTGAAATCTGAACAATCCCACTAATTATTATAACTAGATGAGCACAAGATAAATTTAGTTTCACTGAAATGCCCCAGAGTAGGTTTGCAAAAAATTTGTGAGAGTAACAAGTGCTTTTGGGATTGGGGGCAGGATAAGGATCGATTGGGCTGGGGTGATGGAGAGGATTTATAGTGGAGGAGGCTTCCACTGAGGCTGCGGGGCAAAGGATGATACACATTTGGGGGGGACGGGAAGGTTCCAAAGGACGGGAATGCTGGAGGGAGGAGTTTGACATGTATATATGCAGAACGGGTTTCAATCTTTAAATGGACAAATTGTATGATATGTGAACTGATATCTTAGTAGAACTATTTAAAAAACAAGGGGGCTAGAGGCTGCCCTGCAGGCACATCCAGAGCAGAGGCCAAGATCTGTACCCATTCCAGCTCAGGGGAAGGGTAGCCCAGACAGACCAGGCATTAAGTACACCCTGGTCTGCCCAGGTTCAAACCATTGGCCCCACTGTCCCTGTAGGAGTACTTGGGTGACTGTGTCCCTAGCGGTCCTTGAGCTCCAGTGCCAACATTACGCCTCACCTCCGGTGTGCCTGCTCTCACATTTTGCAAATTGTTTCATCATCATCATTAGTGAGTATTTACCTTGTGCTTCCCATGTGCAATAACAGAGTTTGCACACGCTGGGGAGGGAACTCAAGGGCCAGCTGAGGACGCATGGAGGGGCCATGGCTCCTGTGGCCAGGCCAGCTGGCCTGTGCAGCTGCTGTGATGCTGTGACTGTGCGCACCCCTTCCCCTGAGCTGGAATGGGTACAGATCTTGGCCTCTGCTCTGGATGTGCCTGCAGGGCCCTCTTTGCCCAAAGCCAGCCATTGGTGGATGGGAGCAGGTGTGATTTCCACTGAGTACGTAGAGCTGCCTGTCCCCTTCTGTGGGTTGGTGTCGGTTTTACCCTCTAAGGGATCAGCCCTGAGTTAGTGTCTTAGGGCTACTGTAACAAAGGACCGCAAACTGGGGTGTGTGTGCGGGGGGGAGGTTTAAAACAATAGGAACTCATTCTCTCAGTTTTGGAGGCCAGAAGTCTGCAATCAAGGTGTGGGAAGGCTTGTGCCCCCTCCAAAGGCTCCAGGAGAGGATCTCTCTGCTGTGTCCAGCTTCTAGGAGCTTCAGGTGGTCCTGGGCTTGGGGCAGCATCACTCTAGCCTCTGCCTCCGTGGTCACATGGTTCCCGTGTGTCTTTTCCTTTTTTTTTTACACCTACAGCACCTGGTATTCCAAGGTGGTCTCCCATTTAAGTACTAACCAAGCCCGACCCTGCTTAGCTTTCGAGATCAGACGGGATCAGGTTTGTTCAGGGTGGCATGGCCATAGACTTCTTTTCCCATTTCTTTTTTTTTTTTTTTCTGTACAGAGTAGGCATACAATATATATTTGTTGGACAAATGAGCTTGTTTCCAATCTTTCACTTACAAAGTTGCAATAAACAGCTTAGAACATATATCTTTCCAAATTCTTTCAGTGTTTCTAGAGAACACACTTCTTTCTAGAAGCAGAATTGCCGAGTTGAGTCTGCCGTATTTAAAAACATTGCTATTGCCTCTTTTCCCATTTCTTAAAGGGACACTTATCTTCGGGATTAGGGCCCACTCTAATCCAGGATGATCTTATCTGGAGATCCTTAACTTAATTGCATTTGCAAAAACTCTTTTTCCAGATTAGTTCCCATTCACAGGTTCTGGTCGGACATATCATTTGGAGAGTCCACCATTCAACTCTCCACAGCTGCATGTCCAGGTTTTTGTGGAATCCTCAGGGGTCGGAGGACAACTGCATAATGAGATGCGTCTCACCAGATCATAGCCTACCTCCCATATGAGATAGAGAGGACACAGCCTGGGACCCAGCCCAAGACACACCTGCAGGCTGCAAGCCCCATGAACAGTGCTACAGAGTGGGGCCTGGGCCAGGAGATGTCTTTGGGGGAAGCCAGCCTGTGTGCAATGGGACTAAAATAACCCAGGGTGGGGACAAGGAAAAGATATTTTGTCTTTACCAAAATAAATAAATTTTTTTCTAAACACGTAATTTCAAAACTTTTATTGTATTCTCCAATGTTACTATGTTGTGGGTCAAGACCCCCAAAGAAATTGGAGAGAAATGGGGTTCACTCCTTTCTTTCTCTACATGGCTGAGCTATAGGACAAAGGGTGTGCATCCACCATAAGGCCCACGAAAACCACCAAGATACCCGCATCAGGCATGGGGTGGGGAAGGGCAACTAGGAACCATGGGGGAGGGGGTTTTGTGCTGTTACCCCCAGCACTATGGGATCACCTACCAAGAGCCGCCTATATTAATTTTGGGGTGCAGGAATGACCAGGTGAGAGGAGTACAGATGGGGCTGGATCCCAGAGCCCCTGCTTTGTCACGTGGAACAAAGGACAAGTTTCCCAGGGGCCTGGCTCAGGCAACCTTCCCAGTACAGGGCAGGCCCCCTACCAAACCAAGTAGCTGTCGCATTCCAAACCCGCTCCTATGCTTTTTGTAAACCAGGGACTGTTTAGTTTGTGTGGCCAACGAGGAGTCTCCTTACAATCTGGGGGTCTTCATGTTCAGGAGGTTCTGGGTAGATCACCCCTGATCTCTGTCTGCCTATCATGGATGCCACTCCCTGTCTGCGTGGACAGTCTCCAGGCCTGTCTCTGCAAACCTTCCACACCTCTCCGAGGACACTCCAGGCCTGAGTGCTAGGATGCAGGAGGGAGGGGTGAGAAAGTGCCCCCTTTCATGTGAGTCCCGGTGCCTGTCACTCTCTAGAATCTGAGACAGAAAAAAGCCTTTTGTATAAAGCACCCTGCCTGGCCAGGGCCTCTACCTAGGCACTGGAGGTGATTTGGCCCCTCCCCCGCCCTGGGGCACTCTGGGCTTTAGGAAGCAAGGCTTGCATTCCTGGGTCAAGAGCAGAGTGTTTTATTTGTTGAAGGGAATTACTGAGACCAATTACTGAGACCAATGAGCACATCATTAACATCATAATCAACACGCAGCACCTTCCCGCTGGGGCCACCACATCTTGTCAACAGGTGTGATGCAGCAACAGCCCTGGGAGGCCCTGCACAAGGTGCAATTAGAAGCTAATGAGGAGGCTTGCCATGACCAACCCTTCTAGCTCCTGCTCCTAGGTAGGCACCCAGCCAGGGATTGGGAGAGGAGGAGGATCTGGAGAGAGCTCTGGTGGTCTTCCTTCTGCTCCCACCCAGGTCGGGCTGCAGGAAGCAGCAGAAAGACCTGCAGGTTTGCAGTTGGTCATGGAGAGGGCCTCACCATGCAGTAGGAACACTAGTGATCCTTAGGAGGACAGGTGCACTGTACACCTGTCCACAGGCATGCACCATCAGGGGCAGGCTGAGAGGAGAAGCCCCCTCCTTTGCCTGACCGTGTGCTAGAGGGAGAGGTGTGGGGGACACAACCGTCTCGCCCTCCAACACTGGGCCTCTGGGCTGTGGGCCTGGGACGGCCAGGCAACCTAGTTTGCTTTCTTGAAAGAGCAGCACGAGGCTTGTCAGGGCCAAGCGCCAGTCAAAGCAGCAGGGCTACTCTCTCCAGGGGACTTGCTAAACCGGCCTGTTTGGAGTGTGTAGCAGCAGGTTTGTTACTGTTTTTTGACATTTCCCCCAGCCTTCCATGTTAGAGCACCATGGTCAAGGCTGCCATGTTAGAGCATCAAGGCCTGGCTTGCCAGGGACCCCTGAGTTACCTCTGCACTCATACTTTGTACTCAGCCCCTCAAGTCATCAAGAGGGCCATCTGGGTGTCCGAGGAAGCATACGCTATGTGGCAGAGTCATAGTGTAGCTGGGTGGGGCGGGGGTCCCTATGGGAGCCCCCAGCTCCAGGGCCTGCACCTCAGCCCAGGAACCTGGGAGCTATTCCGCCATTGGCAGCCTGGCTGGTTTTCTGTTTGATATTTTTACTGCTTTGTGAAGGTCATGCCTGGCTGCTTCCTGTGGGAGGATTACCCCGGAAACAGCATTTGGGCCCCCAGCCTGGGGAGCTCCCAGCTTGTGGGACTGTGG